GCCGGATGCTTCCTTCCGGCTCGGTGCGTATAAAATCCCGCGCCCACTTACGCCCACCCGGTTTAAATTTTACTCTGCATCGAGAAATTCCACTTGGTGTCCACCTCTTTCTGCCGCCTTCCCTTCACCAAATCCCCGACCACCCACCCATCCATGATTGGCCTTGCTCCGTCGAATGGCCTCTTCTGGAGCGGCCCGCACCCACCCCAAATTTAAACACCCGCCGCGCACGTACGCACGCACGCACCTCTCTTCCACCTCCCCTCCCCCGCCCAAATTGAAACCTCCAAATCTCTGCATTATCAGATGAAATCATATACAGGTCAGTATCATACGCCCTCCCCTCCCCTCCCCTCCCTCCCTCCGCCACTGCACTGCAAAACAACACGCGCATCACATCATATGTACATGTCCGACGCAGCGGCCGCAGCAGCAATAAGTTAACGTTAACGTGAAAAAGGGCTGTAAGTGCCTTGTCCACCCCGCCCCGCCCACCCCGCCCCGCCCACCTCCTCCGCCGGTATATACGATATCCCCACCACACCACAGTCGTACAGTCGTAAAAGCACCCGCCCCGCCCACCATCGTCGTAAAGCCAAGTCAGAAGCGCATACCGCTCTACCGCACATTCGTCCGATAACTCGGCGGCGGCGGGCTCGCGGCGCGTGCGCCGGCGGAGGGCACGAGGTCGTCGTGGCTGTCCTCGGAGCCGTACGCGGTGTGGTACGACATGTCCGTGGGCTCGGCGGTGTGGCCGCCGCCAAAGGTCGCGTTTGAGGGCTCGAGGGTGTGGGTGTGGTCTGGAAGGGAGGAGGGAGAGGGGGTTAGCACGGTGTCCGAAAGGGAAGGAAGATAGGAGGAAGGAAGGAAGAGGGGACGGAGGGAAGGGCAAGGGAAGGAGATGAGAAGGAAGGGGAAGAACGCAAGTGCCGATGCTTCGTTCCCGTCCCCCGCCTCAGGAAGTCAACGTCGAGAAGAGAAGTACGACGCCCACTCGTCATCCCTTCCTTCGCCAGCCCCACCCCACCCCACCCCCTCTCAAGCCTCAAACCTCAAAGCTCCAAAACACAAAAACACTCACTCGGATCAGGATCGTCAAACGGACTCCTCAAATACGCCAGCGTCGTCGACGCCGCGCTCGGCGGCACCTGGTACGTCGCATACTGCGCCTGCGTCGGTGTCCCCGGCTCTACATGCTGCTGCTGTTGCTGGCCCGTATACTGCCGCTGCGGCTGTTGTTGTTGTTGCTGCTGCTGGCCCGTATACTGTCTCTGCGGCTGTTGCTGCGGCGGACTCGTCGTGTACTGGTGTTGCTGCGGCGGACTGCGCTGCCGCATCTGCTGCGTATCCCACCCCACCTCATCGCTCGTCGCCTCCCGCCCGGCCGGCGCCCGCCCGTGCGCATACACCTCCGCCGTCCCCGGCGCATGGTACACGCTGTCCGCCTGGATCGGCGTCCGCCCCGCCCCGCCCCCGCTCCCGCTCGCGCCGACGACCTCCGACCCCGAGAACCCCCGCGTCGGCTGCGGCGCGTACATCACCGCGCCCCCGGGGCCCGGCGTGTACCCCACCGCGCGCCCCTGCGCGTCCCACTGCTGGTGCTGCTCGTGCGCCTCCCCGCGCGGCGAGTACGCCGTGGCGTACCCGTCGCCAGGCCGGCCGCGCTGCGCCGCCTCGTACTGCCGCCGCTGCGCGGCCCACTCCGCCGCCTGGCGCTGCTTCTGCTGCTGCTCGTAGTCGTAGCGCGGGTGCGCGCCCTCCATCCCGTTGCCGAAGCCCGCGGTGCTGCCGTTGCCCGCGCCGTAGCTCGGCTTGGCGGTGAGCGGGATGTCCACGCCGCCGTTGCCGCCGCCGTACCCCCCGACGCTGTTCTCGCTACACGCCCCATCCCCATGTCAGCAAGATAAATTTTTAAAAAGGGAAGTAGGGGAGCCGCACCTGTCGTTCGGATTCGCGTACAGATCGAGGTTCACGCCCTGCATCTTGCCCTGGCGCGCCTTGCGCCGCTCGTATATGACGAGCGGCTTCGCGAGGCTCATCTGGTGGAAGATGTACCACATGGCGAGGATCGTGACGAGGAACGTCGCCGCGAGCACCGAGTCGGAGATGATCTTGGACTTGGTGTCCTCCGTGCCCTGCGGTGTCCGCGTATATCAGCATCCGAATAAAAACAGCGGAGACGGAGACAAGACGCACCGCATCGCTCGCCTCGAGGATGACGCCGAGGTAGACGGTGATGAACTGCTTGGGGAGGGAGAGGATGGCGGCGATGGAGAAGACGAAGATGTTCATGCCGCAGGTGGAGAAGACGGCGGTGGTGACTGCGCGGCGGGCCGTCAGGTCAAGGTCAAGTCAAGGGAGGGAGACGCACAGTGGCCTGGGATGGCGCTGAAGCGGGCGATGAGCGCAATCTTGAAGCCGCCCGTGCGCACACAGCGCGCGAGGCAGGCGTATCTGCGGCGTGAGGGCTAGGTTAGTGCAAGACCTCGCACAGAGTGGGCTACACACGGTATTTGCGTGCGCTCCATCTTCTCTCCGCGGGCGCGACAACACCACTTGAAGGCGTAGAAGTTGCCGACCTCGCCGAGGAAGGTGCCGGCGCAGACGATGGCGAAGCCGATCCAGAGGCCCCAGACGAGGCCGCAGAGAATGGCGACGATCTCGTGGCCGAAGAGGGGCGGGAAGGAGATGACAAAGAGGACGCCAATGGGGACGAGCCAGCCGAATTTGAGGCTTTGTGTCGTTGTCAGCATTCCGTATTCAATAAATCCAGGGAAACGTACTCATGTAGCCACTTTGTGACGGGCGTCAACGCATGGACAATTTGGTGGTGGTAGATGCTAATGAGCGCGGTGATGATCATTATGACAGTCAGGATAATATAGTATTCTGGCGGGTGCCTCAGCGAGACTTGATGGAATAAGGACAAGGCCACGCACTGGTCCACTCCTTGCGGATCCAGAAGCGCCAGTTGGTGAGCTGCTTCCAGCTGAAGAGACTCTCGTTCATCTGCTTTGCCTCGCTGGGAGTGGGGCTGGGAGTCCGGGAAATGCCGCGCATGTCGTCTGCAGGGTGTTTGAAGGAGTTATTGGAGGAGAAGGTGGGGGGATATGACTGCTGCTGGCCGCCGTACGCCGGATAGGGCATGGCCATTGTAAAATATTGAGGGTATCGCAGGAAGAAGAAGAGAAGAGTGTATGGCAACCACGAACAACGCCAAGAATAATGCCGCACAGCCACGCACCACACTTGATCAGCCACTGCGCCATCGAAACCCGCAACTCCCGCAGCGTTGTACAGCCCGATGATCACACACTCGCACCCCGCCCGACTCACTCCAACGTAGCAAACCCGCCTCAGACGCTGCAAATCTTCCAGTTGTATTCCGCGTATAATCTGCTTCGGCCTTGCTATCGTGCACTTGACTCACTCACATATTCAGGACTCTCGAGACTCCCGTTATTATTTAATACCGTCCCGCAGCAGAGCATGCCGCGAAGTTAATCACAGCACAGCATTCAAAGATATTCAACATTACGCAGCGGCAGGACACGACTGCTATGCCCTCTCTATCTACCCTGCTCACCGAACAGCATTTCGACCAACGGCCTTGTTTGCCCGCATTCTCTGTCTCGCCCACGCTGCACTGTACCCCTGCGATGCTGCGGGACGTCTCATCGCCCGTCCATAAATCTCATTCAACTTGACCTCGCATGTCTCCCGCAACTACCCCAAGTGGATCCTGGCAGAGGCAGATCACTTCAAACAAATGTTCCTCCAGAGTCCTTCAAGTGACAAGAAAACCGTACGCGCCTCGTCGACGAAAGCTGTCCAAGTTGTTCAACAAACTCCTCCATGACCAACTCGCCGCCCAACCCAAGCCGAACTCGAGCTCCACTCCGATGCACATCCTTACACATCCCACATCTCCGCCGATCGTCGGCTTGCCCAATTCCGTGATCGCGGCCCGTTTACATGAAGGTGCTGACGATTAGCTCGCTTCAACACCCCTCTTTTTCTTTTTCTTTTTCTTTCTTTCTGCGCCCCTGCAAAAACACCCGGCGGCCGGTGCGTAGCGTACCTCATCACCTTCAATGTTGATTGCCCAATCCATTCCAATCTCGAGTTCGCGTCTGCACCTAGGCCTGGATGCTCAGCACCCGCCTGGAGCCGCAGCACACTGTACGTATTCAATTAATTACTTGCATTCTGTTCAAAACCGTCCACGCACCGCGGTGCAACACATGTACGGCAAGCCGAGAACGGGTCAGTGCCACTGCTTATTAGTGCTAGCGCTTACATATCCGAACTCCAAACGGGCGCGGGGTCTCCGAATTCGAATCTTCGGGCTGCCCATCGGCGACTCGACTACTGCGAAAGCGCAATACACGTTTGCATTGTCAACGTCTGCCCCGCTCTTCCGTCTCTCGAGGTACCGCAGTTACCGCCAGTACAGATACGTGTTTTCTGTGAACAGATTATCTTCAGCGAACAAAATAATCATGTCTACGGCTCATAGCTCAGCTGGAAGCTCAGCAGACGTGTTTCCTTGACTGCTCTTGCCTTCATATGTGCCACTCAAGCAGACTCAAGCGCCAAGAATAAATTTATGTAAACCGAACTTGAACATGGGCGATCGTCGATCGCGACCGAATGATAAAGTCCAACAAACTCAAACCCCATGTCTCCGCACTCGAACTCAGCCGGGTCCTCCATACATCCGGTCGACCGTCCCGGTACATACGTAGATTCCCGTTGGCTCGACTTCATGACTCAAGTTGGCTTTCCGATTTTCTTTTTGATCGGCGATCGGACGAGAATTCAATTCCCTCAGCCACCGCTCCAACCACCCTCTCCCCCCGCCCCCACTCAAGAGCACCCAATCCAGCCATCACATACCCGGCCGGTGCGTACCCAGAATATTGCATTGCGGAAATGATTGTTTTTTAAAGTTTATTCCTTTGCTTGATCTTGTCATCCTCTCTTGACCATTCCCCAACGGCGTCTTAGCTCAGCTGGGAGAGCAGCAGACTGAAGTAAACCGGAAAGAGGGCAGATCATCTGAAGGTCCCGTGTTCAAGCCACGGAGATGCCATTCTTTTTGCCGTTCCCTCGTTTGAAGATCTCCGACCGCATCAACTTGGAGGTTACCCGAAGATTCCCGATAGTATGTAAAGATCTTACTGTAAGAGAACGCATTTCCCGTGCCTCCAACACCCATAACACTAAAGGTCCCGTGTTCAATCCACGGTTATTCTCTTCCTTGAAGATTGGCCACAACATGTGCAGAGGACTGCAGATCGACAACTGTTTGAACAGCATGTGCAGAGGCCTCCATCTCCGTGGCTCAAACCCACCTACGCCGGCACGAGCTCCGTGTTCAATCCACAGTGATAACTCGGAAACAAAGACACCTCACTATTGAACTCCACTTTTCAAGAGAGACATTGTATTCCAGACATCAACCGCTGCGAATATTCGCTGTTCACGTTCAAATCAAAGCTACGGCTGGCTTTCCACGCGGATTATGATCTGCTGATGTGCATAAGAATCCATAAGGCCTTAGGTAGCACCCTGAGCCCTGTGGATAAAGGTGCGCTGAGCGCTCACCATGCCTCAGTTAGATTGAACGGACAGTGATGGCATCAAATCGTGATCGCGGTTGTCAGATGTTGTAGATGCAAGAAAATACGTACCGGTCGTGTTCTTTAAGTGCCCCCTCAAAGGTCTGCGCTTTACATACCCCTCTCCTGGTGTGTCTGACCGCCGACTCCACTCGCCTGAGTGGTCTGAACACTTCGTCGTGCCACACACTGACTTCCACGAGTGATTCTTCACCACTTAGGTTGGAAAGATGCGCACTGAAGTTCCCGGCAGACAAAAGGTATCCATGGATCTCAAGGCACATTACGATGCCGCGTTCAGGTGTCCCGGTCCTCACCAAGTTCCAGGCCCGAACTTGAGCATTGAATGTGCCGTTGGATGTGATTTCCCAAGGGGCTTCCAATCCGTCGCGGATCCGCACTGTTCGATAATTCAGGGACTGAATTATGTTCATTGTTGACCCATTTTCAACCGCGACCAACCAAGCATTTCCTCCTCTTCACCTGGGCTGACCTCGGGAAAACCGCCACTCGTACTGCACTTGGCAAGATTCATCCCGTTTATCAGCAGCGAGAGGACTTATTGAAGATAGGTCAGAAAGACGAGGACATACAGAATTACGATTACAGCAGCGACAAAGGATACATATGAACCGAGCCGACTCGGGACCGCGGGGACTAGCGAGGTACGAGCGGGAATATACTTCAATCAGGATGACCAAATGGGAACGCGTGCAGAATCTCTCTTTCAAATTCAATGCCTTGCCGCGTATGGCGTCCACGATAGTCCACCAGCTCAAGTCCTTCAACGCCGATTCGAACCTGTCTCCCGCGCTGGTTCTGTTCGTACGTATTCAGGCACCTAGCTACGAGCCTTGACCTATGTTTTATTTGTGCATTCTTCCCGGAGCCGCGGAAAATCGTGACGTGGGGTGGACGAAGGCGAGGCTGCCTGCAGCTCGCCCGCGGAATAAATGAGCCATCGCGTGTGACCTTTTCCAGCATCGACGGACACGCACCAGGACCACGGCCCCAGGGCCATCTGAATGTCGGCGAACCGGTTTTCCTCATCCCGCAGGCGGATAGCCACAATTTGGTCCCCACGCTTCCAACGTACGGCGGGGCGATCAAGCTCAAAATCGAACGGTTTGTACTGTTCGGCGATCTCGCGGATGTGCTCGACCAACCCGCTCTCGTAGCAGACATCAGAGAGGAGAGTAATGTGGGCCGGAATGTGGTCGGGATACAGCTCGCCGCGGAGGCGGTTGATCCACTGGAGGTCGCGGCCCGGAGTGCATGCGAATTCGATGCTGAGACTGGTGAGCGCCATGGCGGTCGCTGAGGCGATGATGGCTTTTCACACACACACACGCAGAACGACGGACAATCACTCGGCGGGTTCACGGATCATCTTGATATCGTTCCCGCGTTGGCGTGCTTCTTCTCAATCTGGAGCTTGCGCAACACAAACCGCGCTCGGAATCGACGCCAGTGAGCTCTCACAATCTCTCACTACTTTCTCCTCTTTTCCTCTCTTTTTATCAACTTGAAAACTTGATTATTTCCCCATAACTGCAGACTTAAACCTGAAGCCAAAAAATACCATCTGGTGATTCATCAATAGACAGCGGAGGAATAGACAGCAGGAGAAGCTGGACACGAAATCAGATATCCACTCAAACCCAAGATCGGCACTTGAGATGGACACCGTATTTTAACTCTCTGAAAGCTTTAGCACCACTTAAATCAACTGCACTGAGGAAATCCTATTCTGTTCTTTCATGCTATTTACCTGCTTTTATGTTGCTTCTAGCATTCTGATCTCTCCATTTTTTATCCGCTTGTACAGACATCTGTGATGAGTTGGGCATATTTCAATGTAACATGTCCACTGCCTGAGATTTCTCTTGTTACCGGGCTCTGCCGCTTGCTGGCCTTAAATGCTTTCGTGATCGTGGTTGGAACTTGGAGCGGTCGAACTAGAATCTTTCGTACGCGTGTGGACAGACTGGTTTGCAGTCTAAAAAATCCTAATCTACTCGCCGATTCTCATACTTGGAATGGACGTTACAGGGCTTTTAATTGCATACTAGGTATGATCAAGGTATGATACACGAAGTTTTCGAAATCTAGCTTCAAGTACAACTCTTAAACCTCAGACATCCTTTGCAGCTTCGCCTGGCGCGCCTTCCTCCGTGCATAAACCACCGCCGGTTGTGCCGCTTTCATCAACCTACGTATGTAAACCATCCCGATAACCGTGATGACAACCGTTACACCAATGACGATACGCTGGATTTTGTCGCTCCTGGAGTCGTCTATCCACCGATATCAGTTCATTCCGGCCCAAAGTGCCAGGTAAAAGATAATACGCACTGCTCGCCAAAGCCACACCGACGTAGACTAACACAATCTGCTTCGGCAGCGATACTACAGCCGCGACGAGGAACACCCAGAATTCTATTTGGCCCTGTTAAGTCGAGGGTATATCAAGATATTTGACGGCACGCACGCATCCCGCAGGTGGCAAAAACAGCGGTAGTTACTGTGTTAAAAAGCGAATTCGGTGAGCGATATGTTCTGGATGAGAGCGAGACGGTGGGGTGCGTACAGTGAGCTGGGAGCGAACTATACCGCACAATAATGGCAATCAACAGCCCTCCTTCACGGACAACATGCGCAAGGGTGCCGTAGCCCATATTCGTCAGCTCCAGACGCTTGCCGCGCGCGCCACAGCAGTATTTGAAGAAGCTAGAAGACACTATTGGTTAGCAGTGCACAAGTGGAGACAAAGGAGACATTTACAAGAAGGTGCATATTTCTCCGAGAAGTGTGCCAGCTAGAGGGAATTTAAGTATCTGTTTGGCGAGACGACGCGGAGAAGCACTTACCGGCGACGATCCCGAAGCCCGCTCCCAAACCCCATGCGACCCCACACAACATTGCTACCAATTCGTGGCCAAATAACTAGAAGTGGGTGAGTCATACATAGTACATCAGGTTCTCAAAAGTTCTTACCGGAGGAAACGACAGCACAATAAAAATTAAAATGGGTATCAACCATCCACCCTTGGTGCTGAAAAATCGACGATGAACTTGAGAGGCCGGAACTCGGTTGTATCGCAAATCTTACTCGTGCAGCCACTGGGTCGCCGGTTTCAACGCGTTTATGATTTTAACGTGGAACCTAGCTCAAATCAGCAACCACACATGTCCTGTAGTCGTCGAACTCACGCTTCGATGAGTACGATGATAGCGATGACTACCGCTAGGATGAGGTAGAGTCCTGCAGGGGGGATGAAGTTAGCGCGCTCATCCATCTGGCATCTGGGAAATTCGCACGAATCCTGGCCTTCCAATCCAACTTCTTCTTCACTCCGTTGAGCAGGTCAACTTCGCTCGGCGTCGGACTGGGTGTGCGCGAGATGTCCCGTGCAATCAGCTCTGGGGCTTTAGTACCGGCGGCTCCCCGGCGAGGCTCGGGTGGGTAGTACGTCGCTCCTGGCAGTTGCGGAGGTTTATCGTAGGCGTATGTTGGCTGTGGCATAGCGACAATGTTGGAGTGGGTGCCTGAAGGCTGGGACATCTGGGAAAACGTAAGGTGGGACAGACATCGAGGATTCTCAGAGCCGTATTATAGTGCACGACTGCTGTGAAGATTTTCATTCAGCTGCGGAGAAGTTGCGGTGGGATGGTGGGTTGAATGCCAAGGCTGCGACGGGTCTAAATCAATAGCGGTGCTGATCCGTCGGAGGAAGGACCAAATTAGCAGACCACGTGAAATTGATCTGCGGGCCGCATTTTTGTCAGAGATGATCACAAATCAGGGGCTGTGATGCGATGCAGAAAACCTACATCCCCGCGGCCAGCTGATACATTTTAGAGGGGGAGTGTTTTCAGTCAACCGCGAACTCATATACCGTGAACTTTAAGCCTCCGAAGAGGAAATCGCATCAATTGGATTTTGATACCATCAAATCGTGATGGCGCAGTTGGACTGTTTTGGTAAGTTCAAGTTACACGTAGTCGTAGCCACCGGTGATTGCTCGCCGACCTTATTACTAATCGCCAGAGTTTGAATCTACTCTAAGAAATATTCAACGCACACGGGCTCCTCTCCGCAGAGAATATATTTTAATACATTGCTTCAGGAGACTGTCTGGTCAGAATTATTCCATTGCGTCTCAATCTTGTAAACGGCGTTCACGGCCTTTCCCGTGTGCCGGGCCATCAAAATCCGGTATCGATGTTCTTTGACTCTACCACCACAACTCCACGGGAGAACTTGAAGTTTTCAACCCAATAAACTAGAATGCAACCTCCAGTGGCTGAAAAACCCGTCCCTAAACCGTATCCAGTGGCCGAAAATCTAGTGATCGGTGATAAGGCCGGCGAGCAATCAACTGATCAAGGTGATCAACAGACTACAAACTACCGAGGTATGAGGTTCAACCGTTTATAGTGTCTGTCTACGAGAGACTAAGTTACACGA